CTGCAACTTAATCAATGACGGAGGTGGTCTGACAACAATGCTCCTCTTCCATTGTCGATCGAACTTCCTTGACAACCTCTTACCGATTCCATCATCAATCTCTCTTTCTCGTTTAACAGTAAGCAAGCGAGCAATCTACAAATCAAAGCCAACTTCACATAAGTACAATCCCAAGCTGATCTGAAACATTAACAAGGATAGCCTCCCTAACAACCTCAAAAACTCAACATTTGCACAAAGATGTTGCAAACAAATAATGGAATTCTAATAAACTAGCAATCTGTATTCAGATGGCATCAATGAATTGAAAATGCTGTGAAGACATCAAAACTCAAGCCCCAGTCATCTCCCCACCCAAAATTAGAAGTTGCAACTACAAGAAATAGAATCTAAGTTTTTTTTTTTTTTTTCTAAACAAAGGGCATGCTTAGTAGTTGTAGTCTTCTACACATTTTGCAGAGTGAAAACTACAAGATGAAACCAAAACAAAAAACAAAGAGAAATGAAAAAGAACCAGCAACACCAAGCCACAAGTATTTCCAACAATCTAAACATCATATAGTTTGTCCTATCAAATTCATAAGCTCCTTCAGATTTCCACCACAACGCATACCGATTCAATAGGCACTTTACAGTGAAATGGAATTTGGAAATCCAATTTTATCTAAGCCAATCTTAATCACTATGCCCTGACAATGAAAAATAATCAGAAAATTCCCATTTCCTTCCCCATCATTTTCTCTCTTAAAGCACTTTTTTTTGTCTTCTGATAAGCTAAGGAAATTAGAACCCACATTTCATAATTGCATTCAATCTATGAAAATTAATTCTTTGAAAAATAAAAAAAAATTACCCTTTTGCGCATTCGACGGAACTCGCTGGATGTGAACTCGTTGCGAGCCGATTTCTGGAGGCGAAGCATGAAGAGCTCACCTTTGAGCTCAACCACCTCCTCGTTGATTTCTTCGGTGGTTTTGGTTCTGATTTCCTTCATCTCTTCTTCTCTCTTGGCCATCATCACCACCGAAGACGACGAGCAAGGCCTCCGAAACGGCGCCGTTGGGAGACGAACGACAGTGTTCGGGCAAGCGCGTTGGAATCGCAGGCCATTGAAGGAGGACTTGGGGATTGGCGACAGCAGCTTTGCGGGGAATGTAACCGTTGAAGGTGGAGCTATGGAGATTGCGCCCAACATCGTTTTTCAGCTTCTCTCTGTCTCTCCACTTCAGTGCTTTTGGTTTTGGGATGTAGATAAGGCCTGATAAATCTTTTTTATTTTTATTTTAAATTTTTTTGGTGCTGCTTTGATTTGAAAGCCAAAAATTAAGTAGATTCAACCAAAATACTTTGTCAACGAAATTCCCAATTTAACCTTAGAATATTTTTATTTTTAAATTCATCAATACTTTTTCGTTAAAAAACTTTGGGCACCTAAAATAATTTGATGGGAAATCAATCCTTATGTCTTTTTCAACGAAATGAAAAATGAGAAAAATATTATTTTATTTTATTTCCCATATTTAATTTGAGCAAAAATTGAACTAGTTTGTTTAGTTTTTCAATTATACTTTTAAATTAAAAATCTGCAATAAATAATAAAAGAAAGCCAACAAACTTGATAAAATTATGAACGAAAAAACCTTTCCGCAAACTTGAACTTACAAACATTTCTTGAGAACCAAATGCATCCTTAAAGAATTAAAAGAGATGATGTATTTTTACACCGAGGTCCTAAGTTTGATTATTCTCTCTAACATTCTCAATATCGCTTGTATTAAAAAAAATAAAAAAATAAAGGGAGTGGTCATTCAAAAGCTTGGGCTGAAGGGGTAAGTAAATGATATGAAGCCCAACTGGGCCGGATTACTAATTTTATTTATTTTTGTTTCAGGCCAAATTAGTATTGAAAAGCAGCTTGGCAGAACACGTGAACGTGATGAGGTGATGTGGAGTCAATATTTGCTAAATTTATCCAATTCTATTTTTATTTTTTTCTTGAATATTAAAATCAGTTTAATTTTACCTCCATTTATTTATCGATTTATTAATTTCGGTAATTTTCTCATTTCCTTTCGTTCCCCTTCCTCCTCTCTCTCTCGAAAAAAAACTCAACCTTCATTCTTTCCAAGCTCAACTTCCGAACGAAACCCTAACAATTCAGACGCACAGAGAGAGAGTAAACCAGTTGAGCAA